CTCAGTGCAGAAAGTAAGTTTTGTTGTTGCTCTTGGACAATGACTTCTACAGTTGCCTCTTTGTATATTATCTTATACTTTGCACTAACATGATGAGTTTGACATATATGGTCTGTGCAAGGACATTGGTGGTCACTGTGCCCCACAGACACAAGCAGAGAGCCCAGTACATTCACAGTTATAGCTCCTCTTATTGTTTCCAAAGGGACAGATACATACATAATTCTAAATTTTTCAATTTTCTTTGCAGTGTTCTATTCAGTTGGCATTAGTGTGACCCTTTGTGTTATTCTTGCTAAACATGTGGCCAGTGGGCAACTCACAGCTCAGTCCTTTAGGCATCTTGTGTTGTGGCAGTGCTCCTCATTAGAGACCCCTGTGTCTTCCAAGTTGAATTCTCTGGAAATTGTGTTCCAAACTCATAGCTTTATGTGGGTTCTCAGTAATGAATTCAGGTTCTCTTGAAGAGCAAACAGTGCTCTCAACCCTTGAGGCATCTCTCTAGCCATAGTGAAAATGCCTTTACTGTTCATTGGTTCAGTTGCTCCATTACTTGACTGGTAATTAAAGTACACTCTCAAATACATTTGTGAACAAATATAGAAAAGGCATAAAATTGAATAGCCAATTCCTATGAATTTCCTTCCTCTTCACTTCATCACTGTCCTTTGTACTAACAATGTTCTAGATTTCACATAGTTTTGTGTTTCTTCTTTCATATTCTATTCTGTCTTTAATCATTTTTTGGTACAGTGTCTTTCTGCACACTCTTCGCTCTCTTGAATCAGAACTGTGTTCAAACTCACAGAGATCCTCTTGCCTATGCCTCCCAAAAGGGGTTAAAATTTGTATAGAATTATTCTTAACCTTTAATTTAAAAAATTCATTTCCACATGTTTGTTTTCACATTTGTAGGTCACCTACAAGCAATAGGTGTCCTCTACTGTTTAGCTCCTCAGAATAGATTGAAGGCCATCATGCCAAGTAACAATTGCCTTTACACATTGTTTTCTCTAACGAGCCACCTGTCTTGCTTGCATGTAATCTTAGTGAAGACATGTGTTTTATGATATTTTTAGGTTTTTTTCTTGAGACAGGGTATAACATTGTAGCCCAACCTGTCTTGGAACTCACTGTGTAACAAGGAGGGATGCTCTCTCAGCCTGGACTCTTAGGGGAATGCCTGGACCCTACCCGGAGTGAAATGACAGTCTCTAGATATCCCCTATGTGGAAGGAATTGGCAATAGGGTGGGAAGCTGGGGGGCAAGGGGAGTGCGGGAGGAGGGGAGGAAGAGGGAACTGGAATTGACATGTAAAACAAGCTATTTAACATTAAAATAAAAAATGATAAAAAGTACAAAATCTTCAGAATCTATGAAAAACCACATATAATAGCTCATGTATAGAAATCTATTGTTCCACTGGCAGGATTGGAGGTGAAGACCAGAGAATTATTAAATCTGGTATGCTACCTAGCAACCTTTGTCTAACAAATTCCTTTTTAGAGAGAACCATGGGTAAAGACAGGGTAAGTTTTGAAAGTCAAATTGAGGGGCTTCCACTGGTCCTAGTGGATTCAGCAAATAAATAAATAAAGTAAGGCATGATTCTCCATAATTATTAGTATATTCTGGGACAGGAAGCAAATTTTATAGTCAAGCCTTTGGATATCATTCTGTCATGGTACTTGGTCACTCTACATTAGATCTAGAGAACTAATGTTAAACAAGTAAAACTACACTCTCATAGGATATCAACTATTGTATTGCACAGTGAACACTAGATTCTGTTTATAGGTAATGTTAAAATATTTTTTAAAGTGAAATGTTTCAATGTATTTCAGTTTTAGTTACAGATAATAAGGCATCACACTGTGTTAAATGTGAAACTAATTAACTTGACTTTCCTTGGTGCAGACACATTACAGATTTCCCATCTCACTGCTGCTAAAATGGCACAGACTCAGCATAACTGAGACTTTTGGGGTCCAAAGAATATAGTAATGACTAAGTAAAATGATGTTGGATATTGGAATCTGGAAAGAGTAAGTATCCAGTTTAGAAGTCTGCATGAGACCAGACTCCTGGAAACTGTCCTGTACTCTGCAAACTGGTGCCTGAAAAACACAAGCTTGTCTGTGCATGTAGTATTAATTTGTGATGCTAGATGATATATAGGGACTTTATGGCCAAAAGTGTCTGCCACCCTCCCATAGCTATGAAGTTGACAACTCCTGGGATGAAGACTGAATTTTCTTAGAGCTCATCCTCCAAGAAGATCACAAAGTCATGTTATTGTATGTATGCTGAGGGATTCATCACCAGCCCTGAAAATGAATTGTTTCAATCAATAAGCAAGAAAAAAGTTTTAACTGCATAGTGAGCATCACAGATGGTTAGAAGTGTATAAGTGAATCCTCTCTCCTGTGGTGTCATTAGTTGAGAAAATCCAGGGAAGGGAACAGACAGGATTTGAATTTTAGGGAGCAGGGACTAAGGAATAAGGGTAAGTTTAGGTGTGGATTCTGGTTTTCGGCACAGTTTTTCTCAAAAGTGTTAACTGACAATTGTCTCATGTATGCACTTGGGGTTTATGGAGGTGTCTTTGTCAATGAATGTTGTACTGGATAGTCAGAGGAACCTGTGGTATAATCCATATCACCACATCAGAATTTGAACACTGTCTGAGGGTTTGCTGTGAACCTTTACAGCCTAAAATGGGAGTTCTGGGTTTTGAGAAAGACCCTGTCAGAAACATTAGGAAGATAGTGAATGAGGAAGGCAATGAACAACATTCTCTGGCCTCTACAGGCCTCTGCATGCACACACACACACACACACACACACATACACACACACAACACACACACTGTGTAACTTCCCTGTGTTGTGACAATCAATTTGAAATTCTACACCCTCAGCAATTTCCTTCAAATCCATGTCCTACCTGCCAGTGATCCTCCTGTGTTAGCACTTCCCATGATCACTCCCTATTTCCATTGCTGTTCTGTTACCATTTCTAGATTATCACTAGAAATCTTCATTAGAGAATTCTTTTACTCATTTACAGGCATTACATTACCTTTAAATAATGTGTATTCTGGGAAACCAGGAGAAATCAGAAGTGATTAACATTTCTTCATATAATTTATACCTTCCCAAATACCACAGAGAGTCATTCTATAATGAAATCTTTCTTGTTTATTCTTTTAGATTTCTTTGATGTTTCTCTGGCATTGTTATTGGGAAGATATATATATCTCATTGTATTCCTTGTATAAACGCCAATTATGAGATCTCAACCTCTGGTAAATTTTTCATGATACAATCCTCTTAATCATCTAGTAATTGAATGAAATATCTAAATAGTCCATTTGAATTATTGATGCCACAAACTTAGGCCATCTGAATAAGTGTGTTCAACTTACCAGGGAGCTATAAGAGTGAATAAAATCCACTTTTCTCAAGTTTTCAAACAGCGATTCATAGGTCCTCAGGAGGCAAGTATGTGCAAACATGCATTTTAAGAGCATAGCATGAGTGAATGGGATGACAATTACTCAAGAGAGAGTTGTGAAGCATAAATGTATTTATTAAAACATGAAACAGTTCACACACTTGGTTCAGAACTGCTGATTCCTCCTAGTAAGTTAGAAATCCTGCAGTTTAATTGAGTTTGTTCATTTGTTTTCATTATTGATGTAAGCCAGAGTTTCCAGAAATGTAATAAATTGATAAATCAATATGAAATATTGACAATATCTTTTTATAGTTATTTAGATCTCTATATCTTATATAGATGTAATTTTCAAAAATAAATAAAATATGTTTGCCCACATACATATAAATTTAGCATAAATGTGGCCTAGGCTTTAATAAAAGCACACAATTAGAGCTGTTCATCACACACAATGACTGTAGTTCCAGCAACTTGGCCTGTTGAGGGAAATGTTTCATTTAAGCCCAATAATTCAAGAATATTCCAGAAAACACAAAAGACACTCCCTCCATAAAATTATAGTTAAGTTGAAAAGCAAATTGTTTTCATTATTTTATTAAAACCATATTAACAGTAATTCTTATGGACTCTGTTTTAATTTGGCCCCTGAGCTTAAATTCTGATGCAGTATTGGTAATTACATATATGTTATATTGTACAATATGACACAAACATGAACATACTATGGAAAATATTTTGTGTATGTAATATAAACTATATTAATACAAACTATAAAGGAAAAAACATATGTTTGTTTCTTTCCATCTACACTGTTTGGTATTTTCTCTTGTATGACATTGGGTTTTTAGTCCTTCATATTTTTATCATAACTGTAAATCAAGAATACATATTTGTAGGCTGGAGTGATTTGGGATGATCCTTTCATACTTCTTCGTATTCAAGTTAATTCATGAGGAAAAAATATAATACACTATGTCTCTTGTTTTCTCTTATCCTATTTCAGGTTGGTCTTAAGGGTAACTTTATTAGGAGAGATGAACATATTAATTTAATTTTGTAACTATGGTCACTTACATTGACATAGAGATCCTTAAAGTTATCTCTTAAATAGATTCTACTAATTTAACATAGACAACACCAACAAGTATTTAATTTACAACTCATTCAACACAAGAAAAGAAGTGGAAGGAAAGGTGTCTCAGTGTTTAGGAACACTTTCTGATCTTGCAGAGAACTTAAATTCTGTTCTGAGTGCAGTTCTACATGGTAGTTCATAAACATCCTGGAGATCTGATGCCTTGCCTTGTGGCTTTTGCAAGCACTGAGTGCACATGGTGAAAAGACATACTTGAAGACAGATACCTTTATACATAAAATAAATATTTTAAAAATGAGAATGTAAAGTATCACGTCTTACGGAAACAGGAGAAAAACGTCTTAACCTGAGCAATATAAATTATGAGGTTGTAGAAAGTAACTTTATTTTTATCTTTTCCTTCTGTCTCAAGTTAAAATTTTTATCCCCCTGATGTGTAAATGATGAGTGATATCAGCGTAGAAGTGGGGATTATATTCTTTCTTCAGACTGGAGTGGGCATCATGGGAAACTCCTTGCTTCTCTGTCTTTATGGTTTCACTTTGCTCACTGGACAAAAGATGAGACCCACAGACCCGATCCTCAACCAACTGGTTGTTGCCAACAACTTAGTTCTCTTCTTCAGAGGGATCCCTGAGACAATGTCAGCTTTTGGATGGAAGGATTTCTTGGGTGATGCTGAATGTCAACTTGTTTTATATCTTCATCGTGTTGCTAGAGGGGTTTCCCTTAACACCACATGCCTTCTGAGTGGCTTCCAGGCCACCAAACTTTGTCCCAGATTCTGTTATTGCAAGCAGCTCTGTAAGAGATGCCCAAAATGTGTTGGCGTCTGTGGCTTCTATTTTTGGATCCTGCAACTCTTGTTAAATATGTATATTCCTATGGGAGTAACTGGCCCAAGGGGCAGTCAAAATATAAGTATGAACACAAATTACAGATACTGTTCCTCACCTATACCGAAAAAATACATAGTTTTATTAAATGCAGTCCTGTACTTTGCCATTGATGCTATATGTTTGGTGTTCATGATTTTGGCTGGTGGATCTATGGTCCTTGTCCTGTACAATCACAAGCAACAAGTTCAACACATTCGCAGTCACAGCCTCTCATTGAGACTTGGCCCAGAGGACAGAGCTACACACACTATTCTGAGCCTGGTGACCATGTTTGTTTTCTTCTTTGGTCTCTCTTCCATTTCAACTCTCTCTGTTGCTCTTACCAGGAACCCAAACAAGAGGTTGATTGATGCTGCTGCATTCCTAGCTGCATGCTTCCCTGCATTCAGCCCCTTTCTGCTCATCAGTTGTGACACCCGTGTCTCTCACATCTTTGATATGTGTTGTAGAAAAAAATCTCTCTCATAATATGGACAAATATCTATCTTCCTTATGGTTTCTACTATTGACCCACTGCTTGATTTAAATTTATATATTCCATTTTAAATGTATATGTGATTTTCCTACATTTTGCCTTCACTAATCTTGTGCTGGTGACTTACGTGACAGAAGAGTGTGATAGATCCCCTAGGGCAGGAATTATGGACTGTTATGAAGTGTCATGAGGATATAGTAAATTGAAGCCAGGAACCCAGGAAAAGAAGCTTTTGCTGCTGGCTACTGACCAACTTTCCTACTGTTTGATTTTATGTGTATAGTTGCTTTGCTTGCTTATATGACTTATATGACATATATGAAGTAGCTGTTGAGGCCATAAGAGGGTATCAGATGCTGACACATTGATGCTGGGAATTGAACCCTGTTCCTTTGAAAGAGTAGAGGGAGTTCAGAGCCACCATGCATTCTCTTTAGACCGTGATATGATAGGCACTCCAGAAATCTATGATAGAATTGTGAGAGGAAGGACTGAGAGTGTAGTTACCCTGATAGACAACTTTCTCTCATGTGCAAGGACCTTGAATTAACAATTACACTAGTAATTAAATTAAATGAATTTAAAATCTGGAATTAACTTCAATGGAATCGGTGTGTCCTAATGATCTCTGTGCTAATTTGGGTTATAAGATAAGAAGAAATAAAACTATTGTCTCTTCCGGCATGGCAAGACAGATTATCAAATTAAAGCAATTGTTGTTAAGCTTAGTGATTGGATTATGATCCCTGGGAGCCACATAGTGGATGGAGATAACTGAATACTAAATATTACGCAATAACATAGACTTCACACACAAACACACACACACCATGCATTCTGAAATAAAATCAGTAAAAGTTTATGAAATTTTGTTTGTCTGGAAATGAATAAGCTTAATTGGAACATTTTGGCACAATCACACAAGATATTGTGTTGGCTAATTTATTTCTTTTTAATAACAGTTTTTTGTTTTAATTTATGATTATACATGTGTTTTGGGGCATATGTATGGATGACTGCAGAACCCATTAATTGGATGACAAATATCCAAGAGTTGGAATTTCAGGGTTAGTGTGCTCCCCGGCATAGGTGCTGGGACCCCTGGAGGAACAGGATGTCCTATGAGCCACTGAAAAATCTCACCATTCCCTGTTTCTTTTGGGGATAAAGACATATATAGCCAAGGCTGGCCTTGGGCTCATTGTGTATCCAAGGAGAGCCTTGAAATCATGATCCACTGCATCCATCTGCTGAAAGCAACGACAACAAGCATTGATCGGCATACTCAGTTATTCAAAATTAACAATACTATGTCAATGCATAACATTCTGGACTGAAAAGGTTTGAATAAATGTAATTAAACAAACCATCAAAATTATAGATAAAATACTATGTCATTACTTTTTTCCTGAAATACCTGTAAATATATGAATTTTAATAATGTTTGTGCAGTGGAACAATAACCTTGAAAGAAGCCTGCATGTGAGTAAACACATGGATTTATAGGATCTCAAAACCCTACCATGTTTGATATGGAGAAGGAAAAACAGTGGGGGTTTGGCGTGTGTGAAGCCATAACACTTCTAAACATTGGGTCTGTAATTTATTGCGATATCAGTCAGTAAATACACCTTTGTCTTTGGACACTGCAGAAGAGGATTCACCATCTTCTTATTATCATCATTTCAACACAAAAGTTAGTGCTGCTAACTTAATGTATTATGGAAACTGGAGATGCTATCACTGTTCAGATCGCCAGAACCCAATGTAAATTCTGGGACTGCATGGTAGATGCCTTTCATTTTAGCATCATCTTTCGATCGAAAGTGGTCTATGATGTTCCTTGAGTCTTGCGTGGAGATGAATACATGCATGCATGCATGCATACATACATACATACATACATACATACATGCTCAAATGATAAATGACTCTACAGTCTTTGACATTTGAATGCTTGAGTACAAGATTGTATAAGGAAAAATGAATGCATTTACAAGGACCACACTGAGTGCAGCAAAGCTATTGTTACTGCTTAGGAAAAGAGCCCAAGGGAATATAATTTTCCATTATCCATGCAGGGCTCAAACTCCAGGGTTGATTCTCTCTATTTGGTGGATTCAAACTTTCCAGGTAAATTCCCTGTGAAAAAGATGTGAATTTTTGTAACAGCACTGGTGTTTCCTCTGTGATAATGTCCTTTCCACTGCAGACTGGAGACTTAAAAGAAAGCACTCACGTGTGTAGGTACAATATATATGTCATGCTTGCTTCTGGAAGGAGACTCAATCCCAAAGGGACAAAGATGACTGATAGTAGATTGGCAGCAGCCACTGTAATGTATGTAGTATATATGCTCCACGATCTTTTCCCCAAAGGCTTCTTGGGTCGTTTCACAGGAGGAAACAATGACAGTCTTCACTTACAGAGTTCATTTCACCACTGGAAACCACTAGTTATTATAAATTAGCAGGACAACCTTTAACTGAATTGGGAGGATCTTAGAGGTACAGGCTGGTAGTGTGGAATTTGTCTCATCTGAAGTGTTGAAAAGTACAGGAAGGAAGAATGGACATGACATATATTATAGGGAGCAAAGACTGGCAACAAAGTGTGTAATAGAGTGAGCTCTTATAACCCACCATTTGTCTCTCTTAATTTTAACTGATCAGTGCTTCATGGATACCTTATAAGATGCACCTGACAAAGGTGGGGTGTCGTGGGTAAAGTGCTTGTTGTGTAAGCTGTATAATCTGACCCTTGTAACCAGTCATATCAAAGCAAAAGACTTGATGTAGCCACATATAACTGAAGACTCTCAGCACCAAATCATGGGACCTTGCATATTTTTAAATTTTCAGTTTACTGGTCATACATTTCTAAAACCTGAATGTTTTAGTTTTTTGTTTAAATTATTGTCATCTTCACTGTTTCTATAATACATTGAAATTATTATCAACAACACCTAGCAATGAATATCCCCTTGTTGCTTTGTCATACTTATAGGGGGGTTTTAGGACTGGTAATAATTGGACCCCAGTCACCATATGCAGTAGGTGTCATACTGCTGTTGAGCAGACCTGTTATATACAGATGATAAATTGGCTAAGAAAGAAATCAGAGAAATACCACCCTTTAGAGTAGCCATAAACTGCATCAAATATCTGGGGATAACGTTAACCAAAGAAGTGAAGGACATGTACATCAATAACTTTGAGTCTTTAAATAAGGAAAGAAGTGAAAGAAGACACCAGAAAAAGGAAAGATCTCCCATGCCCTTGGACTGATAGGATCAACATAATAAAAATGGCAAACTTGCCAAAAGGAATCTACAGATTCAATACAATCTCCATCAAAATACTGGCACAATTCTTCCCAGACCTTGAAAGAACAATAATCAATTTTATATGGAAAAACAAAAGACACAGGATAGCCAAAACAATGCTGTAAAATAAAGGAACTTCTGGAGGCATCAACATTCCTGACTTCAAGCTCTATTATTGAGCTATAGTCCTGAAAACAGCTTGGTATTGGCACAAAAATAGACAGATTGACCAATGGAATCAAATTGAAAACCCTGATTTTAACCCACACACCTATGAACACTTGATTTTTGACAAAGAAGCTAAAATATACAATGGAAAAAAGAAAGCATCTTCAACAAATGGTGCTGGCATAACTGGGTACTGGTACTCAGAAGACTGCAGATAGATCCATGTTTATCACCTTGTACAAAACTTAAGTCCAAATGGATCAAAGATCTCAACATAAATCCAGCCACACTGAAACTTTTAGATGAGAAAGGGGGAGGTACTCTTCAATGAGTTGGTACAGGAGACCACTTCCTAAACATAACACCAGTGGCACAAACACTGAGATCAACAATTAACAAATGGGACCTCCTGAAACTGAGAAGCTTCTGTAAGGCAAAGGACACAGTCAACAAGACAAAAAGGCAGTCCACAGAATGGGAAAAGATATTCACTAAACCCACATCTGACAGAGGGCTAATCTCCAAAATTTACAAAGAACTCAAGAAGGAAGTCTCCAAAACACCAAAGGATCCAATTAAAAGGTGGGGTACAGAACTAAATAGAGAATTCTCAATAGAGGAGGCTAAAATGGCCAAGAGACACTTAAGAAAGTGGTCAACATCTTTAGCCATCAGGGAAATGCAATTCAAAACAACTCCGAGATACCATCTTGCTCCTGTCAGAATGGCTAAAATCAAAAACACCAAAGACAATTTATGCTGGAGAGGATGTGGAGAGAGGGGAATACTCCTCCACTGCTGGTGGGAGTGCCAGCTCGTACAGCCTCTTTGGAAATCAGTATGGAGATTCCTCAGGAAAATATGAATTAATGTACCACAAGATCCAGCAATTCCACTCTTAGGCATATATCCAAATGAGGCAAATTCATACAACAAGGGAATCTGCTCCACTATGTTCATAGCAGCATTATTTGTAATAGCCAGAACCTGGAAGCAACCTAGATGCCCCTCAACTGAATAGTGGATAGAGAAAATGTGGTACATTTACACAATGGAGTATTACTCAGCAGAAAAAAGCAATAGAATCTTGAAATTCGCAGTTAAATAGATAGCACTGGAAGAAACCATCCTGATTGAGGTAACCCAGTCGCAAAAAGATAAACATGGTATGTACTCACTCATATATGGATTTTAGACATGGGTCAGTATAGTGCCAGTCTGCACTTCCACTGATAGAATGAATGGGAAACAGGAAAGAATCTAAAAGATATGCATATATGCATAGTGTCCAAGAGAAGAGGATTGAGACAAGATTCTCTGAATGGATGGGGAACACATCGAGAGGTGGGGGGGAAGTGGGAGCTGGGAAGAAGAGAGGGGGAGAAGAGGAAGAGAGAGTAGGTCATGGGGGAACAGTAAGTTGAGTGGGTGGGGGTAGAATAGGGGGAAGAGGGAATCATAGGTTAGAAGACAGATCAGCCAACAGAGTGACCTCTAGTG